GAAATTGACCGCGCTGCTATTCCATCCGAAGTGGTTAGACTGGAACCTTATCCGCCACAATTTCTCAAATTTGGGCACGTTCCCCCGCACCCCCTCCAAACAATGATTGAGAAAAATAAGATAATGATTCTTTGCAGCATCTGCACTTTGATCTTTGTTTCGGGGGGGAAGGGGGGATGCCGGGCCTGTCACATGCACTCGTGCCAGCTCAGGAGTCCAAGAGGTGGTCGTTTGGACGGCTTTTACTTCTGCCTGTCATTCAGAAGGGTCTATTTTTGGGCCCGAAAAAGTCAAGAAAATTAGACACGCAAATACGGGCCTCCCCAGTTCAAGATTCCTGCCACGGATGCTGTTTGTGTTAAAGTAGCTTCAAGCTTGACATTTTGCGCACATAGCAGCTTGCAAGCTTCAGCACATCTGACAAAATGAAGGGACCAAAAACAGGCCCGCCAGGAGGGACCACTTTTGATTCTAAGAGGGTCCACTTTTGGGTCCCTTCTGAAATATATTTGCTTTGCGCAAGGGCCCAAAACTGGACCCTCAGCATTCTGAATCTGGTGCCTCCCTGGGGCTTGTTTGACGCCCTATTCAAATACTCTCTTGAGGCGCGTTGTTGGAATCAGGCCACAAACAGCAGCGTCACACATCATAGCAACTAACTACGAGTTGGCAACCAGGGCCTCGAACAAGGGAGGCCCCCACCGTGTCTCCAAAAAGTCTGCTGATTTCAGGTGCTAAAACCGAACCCTCTGGACATGGCGAGGTGCTGCTCCTAAAGTGACAGAAAGTTCAGCAAATGTGGAAACACTTTCCCTGTACATTGCCAAATTTTGAAGGGTGCAAAGGTGCAACTTTTTCAGGGTAGGAAACAGAACCTGTATAGTTTCTTATTCACACTTCCAAAAGTTGCACCTTTGCACCCTGGTTTTTCTCTGTCTATTTTTTAGACTTTTTTTTTTGGTCGGCGCCCTTTGCCTTTCGGCGGGTCACCACTTGAGGCTTGCTCGCGGACAGCGGGAAATCGAACCACCACCGGCAGTCTATTCACGAGCCACGGGGACGCCTCTCTATCTATTTTTTAGACGCAAAATAACGGAAATTCACCGCGCTGCTATTCCATCCGAAGTGGTTAGACTGGAACCTTATCCGCCACAATTTCTCAAATTTGGGCACGTTCCCCCGCACCCCCTCCAAACAGTGATTGAGAAAAATAAGATAATAATTCTTTGCAGCATCTGCACTTTGATCTTTGTTTCGGGGGGGAAGGGGGGATGCCGGGCCTGTCACATGCACTTGTGCCAGCTCAGGAGTCCAAGAGGTGGTCGTTTGGACGGCTTTTACTTCTGCCTGTCATTCAGAAGGGTCTATTTTTGGGCCCGAAAAAGTCAAGAAAAATTAGACACGCAAATACGGGCCTCCCCAGTTCAAGATTCCTGCCACGGATGCTGTTTGTGTTAAAGTAGCTTCAAGCTTGACATTTTGCGCACATAGCAGCTTGCAAGCTTCAGCACATCTGACAAAATGAAGGGACCAAAAACAGGCCCGCCAGGAGGAACCACTTTTGATTCTAAGAGGGTCCACTTTTGGGTCCCTTCTGAAATATATTTGCTTTGTGCAAGGGCCCAAAACTGGGCCCTCAGCATTCTGAATCTGGGGCCTCCCTGGGGGCTTGTTTGACGCCCTATTCAAATACTCTCTTGAGGCGCGTTGTTGGAATCAGGCCACAAACAGCAGCGTCACACATCATAGCAACTAACTACGAGTTGGCAACCAGGGCCTCGAACAAGGGAGGCCCCCACCGTGTCTCCAAAAAGTCTGCTGATTTCAGGTGCTAAAACCGGACCCTCTGGACATGGCGAGGTGCTGCTCCTAAAGTGACAGAAAGATCAGCAAATGTGGAAACACTTTCCCTGTACATTGCCAAATTTTGAAGGGTGCAAAGGTGCAACTTTTTCAGGGTAGGAAACAGAACCTGTATAGTTTCTTATTCACACTTCCAAAAGTTGCACCCTTGCACCCTGGTTTTTCTCTATCTATTTTTTAGACTTTTTTTTTTTTGGTCGGCGCCCTTTGCCTTTCGGCGGGTCACCACTTGAGGCTTGCTCGCGGACAGCGGGAAATCGAACCACCACCGGCAGTCTATTCACATCATCAAGAACGACGCCCTACCAACAGAGCCACGGGGACGCCTCTCTATCTATTTTTTAGACGCAAAATAACGGAAATTCACCGCGCTGCTATTCCATCCGAAGTGGTTAGACTGGAACCTTATCCGCCACAATTTCTCAAATTTGGGCACGTTCCCCCGCACCCCTCCAAACAATGATTGAGAAAATAAGTTAATGATTCTTTGCAGCATCTGCACTTTGATCTTTGTTTCGGGGGGGAAGGGGGGATGCCGGGCCTGTCACATGCACTTGTGCCAGCTCAGGAGTCCAAGAGGTGCTCGTTTGGACGGCTTTTACTTCTGCCTGTGATTCAGAAGGGTCTATTTTTGGGCCCGAAAAAGTCAAGAAAAATTAGACACGCAAATACGGGCCTCCCCAGTTCAAGATTCCTGCCACGGATGCTGTTTGTGTTAAAGCAGCTTCAAGCTTGACATTTTGCGCACATAGCAGTCAGCACATCTGACAAAATGAAGGGACCAAAAACATGCCTGCCAGGAGGGACCACTTTCGATCCTAAGAGGGTCCACTTTTGGGTCCCTTCTGAAATATATTTGCTTTGCGCAAGGGTCCAAAACTGGGCCCTCAGCATTCTGAATCCGGTGCCTCCCTGAGGGCCTGTTTGACGTGCCATTTAAATACTCTCTTAAGGTGCGTTGTTGGAATCTAGCTACAAACATCAGCGTCACACATCATAGCAACTAGGTCAGCAACAAGGGCCTCGAACAGTTCAAGAGTCCTGCCGCGGATGCTGTTTGTGTCAGTAGTTTCAAGCTTGACATTCTGCGCACATAGCAGCTTGCAAAACTTCAGCACATCTGACAAAATGAAGGGACCAAAAACAGGCCCGCCAGGAGGGACCACTTTCGATCCTGAGAGGATCCACTTTTGGGTCCCTTCTGAAATATATTTGCTTTGCGCAAGGGCCCAAAACTGGACCCTCAGCATTCTGAATCTGGTGCCTCCCTGGGGCTTGTTTGACGCCCTATTCAAATACTCTCTTGAGGCGCGTTGTTGGAATCAGGCCACAAACAGCAGCGTCACACATCATAGCAACTAACTACGAGTTGGCAACCAGGGCCTCGAACAGGTCAAGATTCCTGCCACGGATGCTGATTGTGTTAAAGTAGCTTCAAGCTTGACATTTTGCGCACATAGCAGCTTGCAAAGCTTCAGCACATCTGACAAAATGAAGGGACCAAAAACAGGCCCGCCAGGAGGGACCACTTTTGATTCTAAGAGGGTCCACTTTTGGGTCCCTTCTGAAATGTATTTGCTTTGCGCAAGGGCCCAAAACTGGGCCCTCAGCATTCTGAATCTGGTGCCTCCCTGGGGGCTTGTTTGACGCCCTATTCAAATACTCTCTTGAGGCGCGTTGTTGGAATCAGGCCACAAACAGCAGCGTCACGCATCATAGCAACTAACTACGAGTTGGCAACCAGGGCCTCGAACAGTTCAAGATTCCTGCCACGGATGCTGTTTGTGTTAAAGTAGCTTAAAGCTTGACATTTTGCGCACATAGCAGCTTGCAAAGCTTCAGCACATCTGACAAAATGAAGGAAGGGACCAAAAACAGGCCCGCCAGGAGGGACCACTTTTGATTCTAAGAGGGTCCACTTTTGGGTCCCTTCTGAAATATATTTGCTTTGTGCAAGGGCCCAAAACTGGGCCCTCAGCATTCTGAATCTGGTGCCTCCCTGGGGGCTTGTTTGACGCCCTATTCAAATACTCTCTTGAGGCGCGTCGTTGGAATCAGGCCACAAACAGCAGCGTCACACATCATAGCAACTAACTACGAGTTGGCAACCAGGGCCTCGAACAAGGGAGGCCCCCACCGTGTCTCCAAAAAGTCTGCTGATTTCAGGTGCTAAAACCGAACCCTCTGGACATGGCGAGGTGCTGCTCCTAAAGTGACAGAAAGATCAGCAAATGTGGAAACACTTTCCCTGTACATTGCCAAATTTTGAAGGGTGCAAAGGTGCAACTTTTTCAGGGTAGGAAACAGAACCTGTATAGTTTATTCTCCACTCCACAACAGCGCATGTAATCCGCACACACAAACAACTCAAATCGACGCCAAATTGAAAGTCTCTAAATTAAACGTGACATGGACATGGTTTCGGAAAATGAATGTGAAAAAGGTTCGCGCACCAGCTCAGCAATCCTTTTTTACCACAGGGGAAAGTTTCACACCTTCCGGTCATCAGGGCCGAAGGGTGTGGCCTTTGTAGAAAGACCAGTATTCGAAGAAAAAAATTTTTGCAGGGTGGGAAAAGTTTCAAGGAAACAGGGAGGGAAAGACGAAAATTTTTTCCGTCGAACACGGGTCAAAAACCCTCCCACCCAACCCTTGAGATGGAAAACGTTTCGAAGGAAACATAAACATGGTCGATTCACGAAGAAGGTTTGTGTTTGGAAAACAGGTCAACATGCGCACGAGCAAAAACCGGACGTTGTTGTAAATTACCAACAAACCAAACAACAAAAAGGTTGTTTCCTTTTTTGCTCTTTATTTGTTGCGTGTTCAAATAAGAGAGAGTTTCTCAAGAGAAACTCGCAACTTATTCTCCACTCCACAACAGCGCATGTAATCCGCAAACACAAACAACTCAAATCGACGCCAAATTGAAAGTCTCTAAATTAAACGTGACATGGACATGGTTTCGGAAAATGAATGTGAAAAAGGTTCGCGCACCAGCTCAGCAATCCTTTTTTACCACAGGGGAAAGTTTCACACCTTCCGGTCATCGCCCCACTTCAAGTCCAAGGTGTTGAGAAACCTCCTCCCAATTGATATTGGTTCGGGTTGCTCCTAACTCCAAGACTTCTGCGAAGCTGAGGCGGCTTGGTGCATCTGCTGGATTGCTGAAGCTCGGCACTCTACCGAACCAAACTCGATGCTGCATCTCAGCTTCAGTCCTGACGAAAGACTGGATGATGGCACTCGAGCGCACAGTCTCACCGTCGCCTCGAATGTAGGCCATCCTGCTTGACTCATTGTCAATGTAGTAAACCACCTGTGAACTGGTGTAAAGATGGCCCCACAGGCATGCAGCAATGAGCACGGGGAGGACTTCAAGCTCGTGAATGGGATTCAAGGATCGGGCAAACAAGTCACGCATGATATGCTGTGGCACTTCCTCGCCGAAAAAGTGCAAGCTTTGACCTGAAGGGTCAGCAACCACACCTCCAACTGACCCCGTCTGGGACTCTGGATTGCAAGCGCCATCCGTGAACACAAGCCATGTTGAATGTAGCCCTCGCTCTATCGCCAGGGGTTTTCCTGTAAGCACACGCTCTCGCAAAAACTGCAGAGAGCGCTTCATCCCAGCGTCCAACGTCCTTGTCTGACTAGGCCCGGTGCAGAAACGTCCCAAGGCCTTCACCGATGAATTTGCGATCCGCCCAAAGGTGAACCCCTCGTAAAAAATCATCCTGCCCCTCAACCGCTCGGCTTCCTTTGAGCCCAGCTGACCCTTCAAGAGGAGGTCATCCAACTGACCACACAGCTCTTGCTTTCGGCTTTCCGTGTGTCCAACCAGGACTACGCCTTCCTGAAACTGCTTTGTACTGATCGACAAACCCAACGTCTTGAATTCATCACTGAAGGGAAGGCATTTGTGTCCTTCTGTCGCAAACTGCATGCCCAACAAGTTGAAAAGGCTCTCACAGGCCCAACTGCTGCTACCTTCCAGTTCACTTCGAGAAAGCAGGGTGTAATCGTCGTAAAAAGCACTCCACAACAAGCCCAATCCAAAGTAACCCAGGAACCATAGGGCTTGACTGATCCGAAGAAAGCCCGCTACGGATCCCACTGCGCCAAATGGCAGTGAGTTAAATCCGATGACTGCAAACCTGTCGGAGCCTGGCCTGTTGACTCCCATCCGCAAGGTCTCCCTGTCAGCGGGATGAACAGCAAATTGTTTGTATGCTGAACGCAAGTCGTATGTGCGTCCTTTCACAAGAGGCCTCAACTCCGGGGGGCACGTCTTTAAAGCAAAGCCAAACAAAGCAGCCAAAAAATCTACTGAATGCAGTTTAAACTTCTCATGCAAGCCCACTGTCAAGTTCAGTCCACAACAGGTGCAATCGTCGATCACACGGATCTTTTGACCTTGCTTGATCCCGAAGCGTTTGCCAACATGCTTGCCCTCCAACGAGTCGCTCTCGTCGAGGAAGACCCAACCTTTAGTGATCTCTGACTCGGTCTCCGCCCATGTAGCTGCTTCCAACTCGTCCTCCTGTCTCTTGCTCAGGGACGCAACACTGCTGTCGTTGAAAGCACGACTCATTTTCTTGAGAGTGGAAACTGACATTGCTGGCCGCTTGGACTTTGGCCTGAAAACGTGCGACTTTGTCATGTACCCACTGAGTCTGAAACCTGCAGCAATGTCCTCCACCAGCTTTTCGTCTGGATATTTCAAATCGCTCAGCATTTCGCCAAACAAAACCAAACGTTTGTGCCCCAAGACTGTGCGCACATGCTCAGGCATCTGCTGTCGCAAAGCATCCTCCGCTGGAGCAAGCTCTTTGGCTCTAGCCGTCCACTTCTTGAAGAAATCTACCCGCCTTTTTGCAAGCATGTAGGGGGGATCCAGCAAGTTCCACTTGACAACATCTCTCATAGCATCATCAATGTGGACATCGAGTCCTCTGGGATGCCCTGCTTTCAACGCCCTCTCCACAAAATAAGCTGGTTCGCTAGGCACTCCAATCCAGCACTTTTCGACCATGTCGTCAGGTGCAGCAGCATCTGCGCCTGCAAGAAATGTACACTGTTCATGAACGACCCGAAGATCACCCCTTCTCACCAACTGTCGTGAAGTCACTTTGGAGCCTTTGGGTAGGCCGTCCAAGAAGCTGTCTATGCTCTTGGCTTGTTGTGCTGGTGCAATTGCTTGCACATGATGTCCAAATTCGGCCACCAAAGGTTTAATTTTGGCTCCTCTGGGAAGAGCCCCAAGTGCAATCCTGCCAGCCGCATCTGCGTCAGGGTGGGTGACTTGTTCACTCAGAGTTGTGGAGACAACGGCGCCAAAACTGAGCACTTGTTGTTTGATGCATTCCACGATGCGTTGACAAAGCACTTGTGGATAAGCCGCTTCCTCTGAAGTCGGAAAATGCACTGATCCCTGGGAAATGGTCACTTTCCAAGACTTGTGCTGGTGCGTTTGATCACACCGCGCTTCCAGGGAGTCTATCCAGCCGTCATTGACCCAAACTGCGGTTAGTTTGTCTCTGGAACCTCCATGGCAACAGTTGTGAAAAGTCACAAAACGTTCTCCAAATTCAGTGATGATGTTGCGCATCGGACTCGTGTTCCAATAGTGACTATTGCCAGGGTTTTCAATTCCTGTAAAAATATGAGCCAAACAACATGTCCTTGCAATCTGTTCAACCGCAGCGTACAACATGGTTTGCTTTTTCCACTTTCAACTTGTTGGTGCCTTCCAGCCCGTCTAGCTGGTCAGGTTGCTCTAAAGACCTGAGTGGGATAGGCACTTCGATGCCCACCTTTTTCAACTGCGGCAACCTGCGTTCTCTGGCCTTGCTGGCCGTGCCGCACGATGGTGCGATCCACACCGCAGCTATGTTCTCAGCTTCCGCTGTTAGGAAAGCACAAAGTTCGTCAACTTGTTTCTGGTCCTCCAGCTCAAATATGCAAATGTCAATGCCACAGGACCTGCTGTTTGAATGGTCCACTGCTATGCCTGTAAAACCAGCATCCCTTGCCGTGCGTGTCAATCTCGCACTTCCAGCACAAATTTCAACAAAAATCAAATCACTGACAAGCTTGCCCGCAAATTTCTCACGGTAGAAAGGTGCAAACGGTGAGGCCTGTATGCCCTCAGGGCGTTCAGCATCACTTGAATGTGAAACATTTGTTGTTGGAAACTCTGTGTCTTCGACCTTGCGCTTTCCACCAACCTGTTTGCTTGTAGTCCCTTTGCCAACTAAATTGGAAGCCGGGGCCTTCCTGCTTTGTGAGACCACCTTGTGCTCCCCACCTGGCCGATCTGCTTGGCCAGTGGGTGCGCTTTGTCAAGCGCTGTCGGGCTTGGAGAGCCCTCTGCAAACCACCACTGAATGCCCAGGTTTGTGGCAGTTTGCACAAACATGGAAGCCCTTGCTGCACCTCGATGGCTTGCCCGAGGTCGAGTTCTTGCACCCTGCCTTCATGTTGTAAGCCCAACACACTGGACCATGGTCACAACGTAGATTGAACTTCTTCAGCTCATCTGGGCAGCTCCTTTCAGCACGCGTCTTGCGTTTCTTGCTTGGAACTGCGCTCTTTGCAGCCGCTTGCTGCGGAGGCCTCTTGGGTCCAGTGTCTTTGTCTGTTGTTGATGCGGCCGCCTTGGCAGCTGCCGTAGTCGGCAGCAGGAACATCGTGATGCGAGGATCCTGGCTGAACCGAGGAAACATTGCATCCAAGGGTATGTTTCCAGCTGCATCAGGTTTGAGGCTGCCCTTGCATTCTTGAGCTATCAATGTCCACATCTCTCTGTCAGCACGCACGAGTTGTTCCATGCGCACAGCCTGAAAACCAGGGGGTGGCTGCTGGCTCAGGGTGCGAAACAATTGATGTACCCAAGCATCGTGCACTGCCCATGACAGCAACCTGCATTGGTCCATAGCTAATCCTCGTCTCTGCCAGCACCACTGTAGCTTGATTTCGCTCCCATGGTCAGCCCTGAACTCATCAGCAACTTGCGCAACTTTCAGCTGTTGATTCTCGATCTGCACTGCTGAAGGCCTGTCCTTGATGGCCAGTTGAATCTCATCTGACCGCTTTGTGCACCTGCTTGGCGCAATCCAAATAATCGAACCTGTCTCCAAGATGTTGTTGGTGAGGTCCAGAAGCTGATAGCTCGGTTCGAGCTCTCCACTGATGTTTATCCCTGCAAGCCGCCTTTCCTGTTGCTCCAGGCGGTACTTCTTCTCAGCTATTGGAACCTTCTTCACACTGTCCACTTTGTCAGCAGCGTCACTGTCAACTTTCTGCTTGACTGACGCTATCATCAATGTAGTCGCCTCAAAGTGCAGGCGTCTCAGCATTGAAGTCTGTCCAAGTGTTGCCACGGCCCCAAAAACTGTCTGAGCCAGACCAGTAAACTGCTGATCGGTAGGGGCCGACTGCGGTGTCCCAAGTGAAAACGCCATAGCACTGAATGAGCCGATGTTTTGACCCATCAAGGCTGTATGGAAGTTTCCAGTGGGATCGATTTCATCACACCTCTGTTTGAAAGCGGCGTTGCTCTCGACCAGTGCCATGGTTGCCAGTCAACGCTCCCAACGCCGGCTACGGTGAAGTGAAAATTCCCAAACCAGTGTAATCAAAAATTTGCACGTGATAACAAACTGCATGTGATCGGTTGCAACTCCTTTGATGGATGGCTGTGAAGTGATGCGAAGATGTTCAATCCTATTGCATCTCCTTCAACTCGCTCTAAACTGAAAAATGATTTCGTGTTTTGCTCAGTTGTTGCACTTAGTGCATACGAGCCTCTCCACGGACGCACAAAGAATCAAATGAACATCGCAAACTCCAATGGAAGTGATGTCATGTGACTTCTTTGTGACAAAATCGCACTTTCTGAAATGAAAAACAAATGAGCTGTCATGCATGTTTGCCGACGCTTCACAACACTCGCAATGTCAGTCCCTCTCAACCCGGTCTACCTGGTTTTTGGACCACTGCTGTGTCTGAGCTTCGGCTGTGCTGCAATTTCTGCCGCAACTTAAGCCCTGCACCCTATGCGCCAATCTCCACCGCAGTGCTTTCACACTCTGGGTGTGTCCCAGACGTCACAAGCTGAAAGGAAACAAAAAGGACATGTAAGTCACCGTTTTCTATCATCAAGCACTGCCCAAAAGGAGTGATGACAAGGGTCGGTAACCATGCATGACCACACGTTGGATGGCAATGACTCTGTCTCAAGAAAACATCACATTGTCACTTCGCAATCAGTCTCAATGAAAAGTTTAATGCATCAAAAAGTGCACAGTGAGGTCCGGACAGATCGTTTCCGTGTGGCTCACGATCAATAGCATGACTGTGTCGCTACATGCTGATTGAAAAAATTCTGCCACTGCCAACTCTGAAACGTGTGCATCAAAAGGAAACTCTGATTTAAACTGGATGTCTGTCTCAAAGTGCACCGCAGCAATCCTTTAAGGTGCCTGGCTGTGCCACTCTCGTTCAAGACACTGACGTTCCGCCCTGGTTATCACAACCCAAGGAGAAAACAAAGCAACTGATAAAATGAACATGTGAATGCACGAGTTGATACCACATTACAAACTTGGAACATGCAGTGTCACACATGAAACTCTCTGCAAACGTGACCGCAAAACTCTCGGACTGTGTGAAAGTCTGGTCACAAGATTGAGTTGCCGGCCAACGCATGAGTCACTGCGCCACTAACAGGCTCTGTTCCGTTTGCACGTGTCCACAGCTCCGCAATGTCCAACAGTTGATGTTTCAAATAAATTGCACTGCAACACATGACAACATCGAATTCATCGCAGCTGCCCTACACCTACCAAATTATGAAGCTTTGCGGAAACATGCCCAGCAGATCGGAGAATCGAACCTTGGGTCCTGTTCCAACCTGTGATGAAAGCTGCCAACTGTTCTACCGCAAACGAAAACACGATTGTACCCAGGTTCAGTCAGATGAACTGTTTTGAGTTTGGAATGCTGCCACTTCGAATAACCCTCTGGAGGCTGGGGCGGAGTGAAGACCTTGTTGAGGCTGTGTCCCTCCAGGATCTCACTGCTGGCCGACTCTGAACTTGACGTGCTGCCAGATGAATCCGACATGTCATGTTCTTCAGCAACATCCTCTTCTGATGACAAAACAGTTTCAATTTTCACTTCTGAAATCTGAGCCGTTGACTGTTCGATGGGAGAATCTACCACTCGCCCACTCCTGGTGCTGTCAGGTCGAAACTTTCCTGCGGCAATTTCCCTGATCAGGCGCTCAAGCAAAATGAGGCTGGCTGCAGCTCCATCCCTAGAATAAACCATGGCCATGTGCATCTGAGATGAGTGGTATCCAAGCATGAGACGATCTGGAACTGATAAACCACGTTTAGCAGCGTATGAAAGCATCGTGCATTTGAGGCTGTGACTGCTAATGCGCCTCTCGTCCTGCGACTCTCCAGCGGCTCCATGATTGAGCAGCCTGCGAAGCCACTTGCCACACTCACCAGACTCCAGGGGGCGTTGAGTTGCATCCCCACTCTTGTCAGGCGCCGGCATGATCAATCCAGATGGTGGAAGTGTCAGCCCCAGAGCCCGTCTCCTGTCCATCCAAGGTGTGGCCCAGTCCTTGCCATTGACCCCCATGATGGGAGCTACCATCGGCAAAAACTGGTGCCGGTGCATCTGAGCAGCCATCGTCTTGTGGCGACCAGTCCTTGTTTCAACATAAGCTGGGTTGTTGTCTTCGTCAAAATCCAGGAACGCTCTTTCGCTCCTCATCAAATCGCCCCAGCGTCCCCTGCAGTAGCAGCACAACAACGTGGCCCCTGCAAACACTGCATCCCATGCATCTGTGGACTCCTCAACAATGGAGTGTAGTTTGAGCAGTTCACTGACCAGCAAAGGGCTGGCCTGTTTTCTTTCTTTCAAGTTCGTCTCCCTTGCTGCTCCACTGCATCGCTTGCTGTTCAGAATGACCTGGAGTTCAGTCACGTCCAAAACATGCCTGCAAAATGCAATTGCTTGCAAAAGCCCCTGCAACCGACTATGTGGCGCACCCTGAGCAGACTCCGAACACAAATACCTGTAAAAAGTGATCTCGGTCATTGGAAAGGCCTCCAACCGATTGTCTTCCAAGTGGTCGCATAGCTTCAGGATGGCCATGCCCCTCTTTCTAATGGTCACAGGAGCACGCCCTGAAAAGACGTGAGCAAACATATCAAACGTCTCCTCATCACTTCTCACTTCAGCGAGTTTTGACATGAAAGAGCATCTGTCATCCCACTTGCTTGTAACTGCAACCCAAAGCTTGATGCCACGCTGCAAGTCTGAATCTCTCTGTTCAGTCCATGGTATGTCAGGCTTGAAGGAGACCACATCCATGAAGTTACATGCATGAAGTCTGTTTCGTTTTCTGGACTCTCCGTGATCTTGTTCTAAAACTTCATGGTCCAACCCCCAAAGGGCAGGTGAAGGCCTTTGCAATGGCTGGCCCCAAACGCTGTAATCAAGTCCAGAATCCTCATTACCAAAAATGTACTTCCAGATTCCAGTTTCCCACACTTGCTGTGGTGGTATCGATGCAGAGGAGTTGAAAGCTACGTTCAAAGCAGCGTCCAGGTTGACCAAAGCTGTATCTCCACCTGTGCCTTCAACTGATGCAATCTCTGGAGTCCGTGTTGACTGTTGTTTCCCTTGTAAGTCTTCAGTTGCTACTGTTGTAAAACTGCAAACAGAGTTACATTCCGCTGTCAGTAAAGGTCCAGTATTTCCAAACAAATCAAGCTCCCCTGGCTGGCCCATGTCATCACCAACCATTCCGACAGAACCCTGCAATGTTTGCAAGTCATCTGAAAAACTCACAAAAGGAGCAGAAGAAAATGCGAAACCAGCTTCTTCATCGTTTGGACAACTTGCACCTGGAAATGAAGACTCATCCATGGATCTACGAAGTCACAATTCCCCAATGAAAGACGAAAAATTTTTCCGTCAAACACGGGTCAAAAACCCTCCCACCCAACCCTTGAGATGGAAAACGTTTCGAAGGAAACATAAACATGGTCGATTCACGAAGAAGGTTTGTGTTTGGAAAACAGGTCAACATGCGCACGAGCAAAAACCGGACGTTGTTGTAAATTACCAGCAAACCAAACAACAAAAAGGTTGTTTCCTTTTTTTTTGCTCTTTATTTGTTGCGTGTTCAAATAAGAGAGAGTTTCTCAAGAGAAACTCGCAACTCACCAACTGCCTGAGGGCTTCATACCCATTGCCACTGGGAACAGCCTTGGCTATTGCCAAAGCCCTGCACCTGACCAGTGAAGAGATCAAGCCATAGAGCTTTGCTGCACGTCTCTGTAGAGGCACTTTCTAAATCCAATTGCTTCGATGGATCATCTGTCACCTGTTTCACCTCACTTTCATAGGCACTGTCGATGGTCACCAGAAATTGCGTAAGCTGCCAAAGCCAAACACGACAAAGCTTTACGTCCTCATCTGCAATGGAATTTTCCCCAAAAATTGGAAGCTTGTTGACAAGCTTAGACCAGTCAATGGCAGGCTTACCCTGCCCACCAGCACTTCCAGCAGGAGTAGATGCCTGCTGCGCTGACTGCGCCGCAGATTGTGCTGCCAGGCTGGCAGCTTGTGTGGCTTCAGCCACTTGCAACATCGCTGTCTGCAAAATGCTCGGGTCCAGTTGAGCCATCACCCAAACCAGAAATCTGTAGCACCAAACACTTGTACCAAATTTCACCTGTTGTACCTTGCAAACCAGCTCAGCCAATGCAATTCCAGACAAAGGCAGTATGCTCTCTACCCAACGCAGAAAAAACAGTATGGAAACGTGTCGTGTCCAGGAGCTTTGCAATGTCTTTGAAGAAGCCCAAGCAAATGCAACACCAGTTCTGTCTATTGCTAAGGCAAGGATCGGAAGCTTCCAAAGGGCTAGATCCTATGCAGCTCCGCTACCATGCGTAGCAGCTGCCACTCCTTTTACTCCTAAGCCAAAGGCCTCACACGTAGATATACTTGACATGAGTCTTTCATGCAAGCAACTGTGACACTTCTCGGTTTGTGCGTTTCATCCTTGTGAGTCTGCAAATGACATCAACTGACATCTGACATGGTGTCCATGAGTGCTGATCTCATGTTTTTGTATGATTGGTGAAATCACTCCGTTGTTTATGGTCAAATCAGCATTGTCCACGTCTGGGATCCCCGACTCCAAAGGGACAACGATCCAAAAACTCCCTGCGGAAGCTGCGCACATCCTCCCTGAAGGCTTCGATCTTCACCCGAATCTTCTGCATCTCCTAGAGACCAAATTCCGGAGGGAGAAACCGAGAAACCGAGAAACCATCTCCACAGAAGGTCTTGCAACATCCCCAAGGACGAAGCATAAAGAGTGCACAGAGGAATATTCAGATCGTTGAAGAAACGTTTGTTTTGCCTGCACATGTTCTTCAAATCAAAAAGAAAAGGATTTCCCCATGCTTCTTGGGAACCTCCAAAAGTTTCAATTTCATCCGCGGTTTTGTTACCCAGCAACATCCCAAACCGGTCTTTTCTTTCTGGCAAACCCCATATTTAGCGGTTGGAAACACAGTTCTGCAACCCACCAAACTTCTGTCCTGGTTCTGCAGAGGCAAGATCTTCTCCTTCTCATTGCAAGCTGCTCGATCCACCCTTCAGTTTGGGTCCCATGGGCTAAAACTGCTTGGATTTCACCGCGCCACCAGATGGTTTAATTCGATCTTCGAATGTACGTACGTACGTACGTACGTAGTAAGTAAGTAAGTAAGTAAGTAAGTAAGTAAGGAAGGAAGGAAGGAAGTAAGCAAGCAAGCAGGCAAGTAAGTAAGTAAAGGAAGTAAAGTAAGGAAGTAAGTAAGTAAGGAAGTAAGTAAGTAAGTAAGGAAGTAAGGAAGTAAGGAAGTAAGGAAGTGAGGAAGCAAGGAAGTAAGGTAAGTAAGGCAAGTAAGGTAAGTAAGGTAAGTAAGGTAAGTAAGGAAAGTAAGGAAAGTAAGGAAAGTAAGGGAAGTGAGGAAGTAAGTAAGTAAGTAAGGAAGGAAGGAAGTAAGTAAGTAACCAAGCAAGCAGGCAAGTAAGTAAGTAAGTAAGTAAGTAAAGGAAGTAAAGTAAGGAAGTAAAGTAAGGAAGTAAGGAAGTAAGGAAGTAAGGAAGTAAGGAAGTAAGGAAGTAAGGAAGTAAGGAAGTAAGGTAAGTAAGGTAAGTAAGGGAAGTAAGGGAAGTAAGGGAAGTAAGGGAAGTAAGTAAGTAAGTAAGAAAGTAAGTAAGTAAGTAAGAAAGTAAGTAAGTAAGTAAGGTAAGTAATGTTTTTTTTATTAAGTAAGTAAGTAAGTAAATAAGTAAGGAAGGAAGGAAGGAAGTAAGCAAGTAAGCAAGTAAGCAAGTAAGCAAGTAAGTAAGTAAGCAAGTAAGCAAGTAAGCAAGTAAGTAAGTAAGCAAGTAAGCAAGTAAGCAAGTAAGTAAGCAAGTAAGTAAGCAAGTAGGTAAGCAAAGTAAGTAAGTAAGTAAGTAAGTAAGTAAGTAGGTAAGTAAGTAAATAAGTAAGTAAGTGAGTAAGTAAGAAAGTAAGTAAGCAAGCAAGCAAGCAAGAACGCAAGCAAGCAAGCAAGCAAGTAAGGAAGTAAGTAAGTACACCAACTAAATTGGACATCAATCAGATTGGACAAAAGATGACGGTTGAAGCCCCGCAGCCAACTGGCATTTTTATATCGAACGGATTAAAATGGCATGTGCATGTTCCTTGGATGCAAGTGTTTGTCAGTGCTTTCAATTCACAGTCTTCACAGTTCCGAAAGGATCAATCAACGAGGGCACATCGCTTCAAATCGTTTCAAGTGCCTCTAGCCCGGTCATTTCCTTCACTGGGGAGGCCCGTAGTTTGCGTGTCTAATTTTTATAACAGCGGGTTTAATTTCTTCTTTGCGTCTAACAAATAGATAGAGAAAAACGAGGGTGCAAAGGTGCAACTTTCAAAAAGTTGCACCTTTGCACTCTTCAAAATTTGGCAATGTACAGGGAAAGTGTTCCCACATTTGCTGATCTTTCTGTCACTTTGGGAGCAGCACCTCGCCGTGTCCAGAGGGTTCGTTTTTAGCACCTGAAATCAGCAGACTTTTTGGAGACACGGTGGGGGTCTCCCTTGTTCGAGGCCCTTGTTGCCAACTCGTAGTTGCTATGATGTGTGACGCTGATGTTTGTGGCCTGATTCCAACAACGCGCCTTAAGAAAGTATTTAAATAGGGCGTCAAACAAGCTCCCAGAAAGGCACCAGATTCAGAATGCTGCGGGCCCAGTTTTGGACCCTTGCGCAAGGCAAATATATTTCAGAAGGGACCCAAAAGTGGACCCTCTTAGGATCAAAAGTGGTCCCTCCTGGCGGGCTTGTTTTTTGTTCCCTTCATTTTATCACACGTGCGGACGCTTTGCAAGCTGCTATGTGCGCAAAATGTCAACTTGAAGCTACTTTGACAAATAGCATCCGTGGCAGGAATCTTGAACTGGGGAGGTCCGTATTTGCGTGTCTAATTTTTCTTGACTTTTTCGCGCTCAAAAATAGACCCTTCTGAATGACAGGCAGAAGTAAAAGCCGTCCCAACGACCGCCTCTTGGACTCGTGAGCTGGCACAAGTGCATGTGACAGGCCCGACATCCCCTTCCCCCCCGAAACAAAGATCAAAGTGCAGATGCTGCAGGGGAACGTGCCCAAATTTGAGAAATTCTGGCGGATAAGGTTCCAGTCTAACCACTTCGGATGGAACAGCGCGTTCAATTTATTTTTTTTGCGTCTAACAAATAGGTAGAGAAAAACCAGGGTGCAAAGGTGCAACTTTCAGCGTGTCAATAAGAATTATACAGAAAGTTGCACCTTTGCACTCTTTGTGAAAACACGAGAGCGGCGTGGCAGCTCTTTTTCACAGCTCGGACTTGAGCCAAACCACACAGGTTTGACAGCTCAGTCACTCTTCTTCTTAGAAGAGTCGTGCAGAGTAAAACGCAGTGACACTCAAACGTTCTCAAACTTCTCAAACTACTTCAAAAGAGTTCTCAAGCTTCAAAAACGTTCTTCCAGCTTCTCCAAACAAAACGTCTTCAGCTCAAACTCACAAATAACCTACAAAACTCCTACCAAATAAGTTCACAACATCAAGTTCCTAAGACATGGGTCAAACAACATCCAAAAACACCAAAAACCACAAAAACAAACGAAAAATCCATCTCCAAGCTCTTCCATGCAC